ATGACCTTGCAATGGTATGATTAATTCAACTATTAAGTTGGCTTCATTAGTACCTGCATATAGAAAGTGGTTCTAGTATTAATGACACAGCTGATTGAAGTAGATATGAAGTTCTAAGGTGATTAAGGAAAGAACACAAGTCTAAGCTCAAATCCTAGAACTGACCTGCAATTATAACTAAACAAAATGTTAATATCAAAGTCAATTTTTAAGTGACAAGTACTCTCCTCACTGAAACTGGCAGCAATCATCACCTTAAACTATCTTTACTCTAGCCAACACTATCACTACCTTCTCTCCTCCCTTTCTCTCTTTCACCATCTAGCATTACAACACAACTCTATTTGATTTTGCATTCTCTTATATATTCTTGTAATAAGTTGTTTCATATCACGTTGTATGGTTATATAGACAGGAAGCTTTCCGTTCTCCATTGAGTGTTTTTCAGTAAACTGCAGTCAATTTCAGTGTTCTTCAATTTCTTTTTATTATCACTATCAGCATTTGGTAACATAACTTTTTTTTGACCTGTTGAGAAGATCTTTGCTAGCATGTGTGGAGAGAGAGTGGAGAATAGCAGGGGGCATGGCGGTGGTATAGGAGAAAAAGAGAGCTGTTTTGGTCTTTAATTTCATTGAACCTAGTTTGTTTCTTCCACTCTTGGCATCCATTTTCTATTTTTACTTTGGCTAGTTAGTTGTTAAATGGTCATGTTAGGATCCATAATCAAGGCCTTAACAAGTGAATCCTGCTAGATGACAGGTCAGAAGAGGCGAATAGCCTGTCTATAAATGGAATATCTTGATCTGATAATTGAAAATAGAAGCATAGGTACTCTATTCCAAATTTGGTTCATATTTGGAGGGATGTATCTTAATGTTATTAACTTCAGTTTCCTGTGTTAGATTCTGCTTTTCATGTGATCCTTTTTTTTGGGGGGGGGGGGGGATCAACTCTCCGTTGTTAGCCTTAAAATCTCAAATCAACGTTTTGTCATTTACTTTCTAGCAAAAAGGAAATGAAAGAACTTATATTAAGTTGACAAATGAGATTAGAGTTCCCAGATAAATGTGTGTTTCAATTGCCTTTCAACAACTACAGCAATTCCTAAAATTGTTTAATAATTCAAACATGTGCGACTTTTCTTAGAAAATTTTGTGAAGTTCATGGAGATCAATACTTTGCACACAAGTACTGAAGATTTAAATGCTGCTCTCTCAACTAATCCTCATCAACCGTGAACAACTTTTTTTTAACCCAGAACAAATTGAGTCCGAATAATCTTCTTACCTTCAATGAAAATATGTAGGTACAAGTCTACAAGTTCTCCAGAATTACTTACAATGGATCAACACTTCTAAAGCATGCATCATCCAACTTTTTTCCTGAGCATCATCTGCTTAAGCTCCCCCCCACCCCCAACACACCAAAGAAATCCAGCTAAAAAAGTTTAGGCTTTTGTATTAGTGACTCTTGGAATTGTAGTTCAAATAGTAGCTAATTTTGTAAGTGCTGTATGCCATCTTCTGATTGTGTTTTTGGTGCAAGAATGTGACTTTTCTGTTTTCATCATTGATTCATCTTTAGATTCCAATCCTAAGATGTTCCTAGTTAATTACCATTTCAAATATATTTTTTTCTGAAAAATGCCTTAAAAAAATGTCTGAAATGGATACTGCCGACGGATCAATTCTAGTTTATTGCCTAACAGTTGAGTCATATGCAGGCTTCTTTTCAAAATGGATCATTTAATGGGTTTGGTTCTTGTTCTGGCTCCAACTCTAGAGGCTACAGTGGTAACCAAAGTGATCGAAGTGCTTGCCAAGGAAGAGTGTCCTCTAGTTTAGGAATAAGTGGTCATAACTGTCCTACACTTGATGAAGTAAGACAAGGAGGGGGCTGCAATGACTTCTCCTGCAGTTGTACCATAATACTTGATACACTAAGTCAACATAACAGGGGACCTAGGGCATTTAAGCCTAAAACTCAGATAACTACCAAGGGTTATATTGTTGGTATCAGCAAGAATGGAACAACTAATGACATTACCAATGAATCATACAATCAAAAGAATTTTGCCACTGAATATGAAGGTGCCAAGTTCTTCGTGATCAAGTCCTACAGTGAAGATAATGTTCATAAGAGCATAAAGTATGGTGTCTGGGCAAGCACTCCGATCGGCAGCAAAAAATTGAATACTGCTTATCATGAGGCAAAAGCTAAACAAGGAACATGTCATGTCTTTCTCTTATTTTCGGTAATCTACTTTACGTTGCATTCTACGTGTTGCACGGGTAAAAAGAAAAAAAAAATGATGAAGTCATCTATTGTAACCTAAAATGGATGATGGATAGAATCAATTAGTGGCAATGCATTATGATCAACTAGGATCAGTTGTCCTTAGTATGTAATCGTTGTGCTTTCATTTTGTTTCATTTTAAACCCTTGTATGTTATCATGCAGGTGAATGCAAGCGCTCAGTTTTGTGGAGTGGCTGAGATGGTAGGACCTGTTGACTTCGATAAAAGTGTGGATTACTGGCTTCATAATAAGTGGTCTGGGAAATTCCCTGTAAAGTGGCACATAGTTAAAGATGTCCCCAATAGTCAGTTCCGCCACATTCTGCTCGAAAGTAATGACAACAAGCCTGTTACTAACAGTAGAGATACTCAAGAGGTAAAGGATGCATTTGGGATTGACACTTTATAGACACTTTTGCGTGCTGATCTGATTCTTTGTGTTTCCGGTTACATTCAAATTAGTGTCATTATTGCCTCATTCATGGCTATTCTAACTAGTGCTTCTGAGGTGATTATGTCGGTCTAGAATCAAATTTGATTCGACCAAGCCAGCATGAAACTTGTCTACAATTCCGCTCTATATTTTTTTGGTACTTCTCAAGTATATAGAGTATTTATGGTTTTTGTTGAAATGTATGATGTATAACTGGATAAACTCAAAGGAACAATGTACAACCCAGAGCTAGAAGATAGCTCCCGTTGTTTCCATTTGATGAATAGATCAGTTGAGCCATAAGGTATTGAGCATGCATGCCCATTATACATATTTTGTCTGACTGTTCTTAGTGCTTACATTAAGTAAGGTTTACATAATATTTCTCATCTTTCATTGCAACAACGCAATCGAATGGTTTCTGACACTGCTGCATCAAATAATATTGCAGGTTGAATTTGAACAAGGTATTGAGATGATAAACATTTTCAAAAATTATGAAGGTCGTTCTTCCATCCTAGATGACTTCTATTTCTACGAAGAGCGGCAGAAAGCAATGCAGGAAAGGAAGGCCAGGCGGCTAACGACCCTAGTGGCTTCTGACGATTTAGTTCACAAAGCGCCGGACCTTGCTGCACTCCCTAATGATGTCGTAAAGAAAATGTACAAGAGCTTCGCCAAAGTTCTTTTGTTAAATGAGAATGAGAAAGCAGGAAGAGCAACTAAAGAGGTGCTCTCTGCTGCCTGTGGAAGCCATGGTAGATAGCTGGAACCACAAATTCGGCCAACAACGAAACGAATGTTATCGGTATGGAAATACTACGGTTTATATGCATTATCTCGTGTTGTTTACTATTTCCCTCCCCCACAAGTTTTGAGAAGGCACCTAGTTTGGGCTATAACTCGTTTATGGATTTTAATTGTTTAGATTAGATAGGCATATTCTGCGGTAGTCCATAAGATAGACTTGGTTCATAACTTAATATCGTATATATACAGTATATACACAATATATACACCGCTACTGATATTACATATATACTAAATTATTTCCAAAAAGCATTCCTAAGATGGAAATGGGGTTTTTTTTTTTTTGAAAAGTGAGAATCTAGTTGAATCGAATTAAATTCGTTTTAAAAGTAAATTTTTTAAATAATATATTTTTGTTCATAAAAGTTAAATTCAAGATCTTTAATATCGAGATGTATCATCTCGCTTATTGGCATTTCAACCGCAGGGGGAATCAGTAATTCTATATGTCCTAACTCATTCATTTCAACTGCCATTGCTGCACAAGAAGTGTTAATGGCTGCTCAAAAGGTTTTAGTTTCTGTTTTAAGAAACAAGTGTATATATATATATATATATATATATATCCTCTCTCTCTCTCTCTCTCTCTCTCTCTCTCGTGCATTCATTTCAAAACTTCAATTTGAACGCACAAAAATGGACAGAAATGCCCTTCCAAATTTGACGTGTCTCCACTAAAACAGAAGATACATGAATGAGAACACTCAGCCCCAATTCCGTACCTCCGTCAAAATTCTATATGTTCCAGCTCATTATTGTCCTGCAATTTCTGAGAAGTGATACATCTTTGTGGATCATGTTCTATTTAGACCATCAGTTCATCCCCTTTTGGCTTTTATATCAAAAGCACTTGAATAATATATATAGATTACATAAAATTTACTTTATATAATTATGTTTATTTTAATGTTATTTATCTTATTTAATGTTAGAGTTTAAAAATCTAGGGTTTAGAATTTAAAATTTAAGGGTTAAAATTTATAATTTAGAATTAGAGTTTTAGATATTGAGGTTTAATATTAAAATATATACAATACTGTATAAATTAAATTATATATATGTATCGTTTGCTTTAACCAGGGACAATGTCACTAGAAGTCATAACCATCCAAGATTGTTTAATTATTAGTTTAATTTTTTTTTTCATTCAACGTATTCTTTTATTAAACTTAAAAAGAAAACCATGAAAGAAGTTCCTAAGAGTTAAAATTTCCCATAAATATGATCGTTTTTAAAGTAAGAAACAACAACAATGGTGAAAATATGTTGCAGCAGCCAGGGAGTAGTGAAACGGAAAAAGTAAAAGAAAAGAAATAAAAGCCTTTTTAGTTCACTCCTATGCTATGATCCCCTACAATCCCATGCACCGCCTAAAACAGTTAAGCCATTCCCTCTGGGAGTGCATAGAAAAACACAGCCGAAGCAACCAGCAGCACAGAACCAACGAACCGACCAGTTTAAAGCTTCGCCCCGCCGGAGTTATCATCACCACTCTGCGAACCAGACGACGAAGGCACTGCAGGCGTCATCTTCGTTGACGATTAATTCGAAAATATGGCGGCGGCGGGAGAGTTCGGGGCTAATCCAAGAAGCTCTATTCATTCAAAAAAAAAAAAACTACCATGCAATACAATTAATTCATTCATTAGATAAATAATCAAAAGAAGAAAAAAAACGAGGGAGATTTAAAAGCATACTTGGGCAATCGCTGACGCTAGCGTTCTTCAACTTGCAAGCCGAAGGGAGTTGGAAAAGCTTATCTTGCATGACACCCATGCTCTTGAGACTTTGAGACCCGGATGTCTGACTTTGCTGAAGAATATAATACAAACACTTTGGTTCGTTTTCTTTTACGCTCGAAACCGAACTGCAACACTCCTTCGACGGTGTCTCCGCCTTGCCTTGAGCAAAGTTCTGGCGACTCATCACGCTCTGGAAATCTTTGGCGCACTGGTTCCTAACATCCATATGTACTTAAATATTTTATTTAAGAATAATTAAATTAAGGTTAACGACTGATCTAAGATATTGTTATTTGAAGGTACTCGAGACTCTCCGACCGTTCGACAGCTGGACCTAGCTTCTCTCGATTCGTTCGACCTCGTAAGCTAGTGATTACTGGTATGATCTATAAACCCTAAGAATATTTGAATTAAAATATTGTTTCGATAGCAACTCTGTTGCATTATGAATTAGGTTCGAGCACTGCTGCGAAGCGTGGCGAGGCAGATGCTCAGTAGACTTGCTGACTGACCCCTTTTTACTAGGCGTGTTCTCTATGTGCTATATGATTGTTTTATATGTTTTGAAATGTGATTTACAAAAGTTACTGATTTACTAAATCTTTTAACAGTTTGATATTATGATATACTGATTTACTAGTTGACTGTTTATGAACTATGGTTGTTTGATATATGTTATCTCGTTACTTGTTTTCACTGGAAAATATGATTTTATCGATTTATGGATCATGGAATTTATCGCTTACTATGTGAATTGTTTTATAAATATACTGTTTAGGTAGGATTATGGAGTATGAAGGTTCAACTCTTATCAAACTGGTAATTCATTACGGACCTAAGGTGACCCTTGGGTAGGCTCCGAGGCCCCAAAAACTTTATTGGATAAGCTCTCAGGTCCCAAGATGCTCCCTTAGGTATGCCCAATGAGTATAGAGTAAGTCCTTATAGATGGAGTTCTGGGGAATTGCATTTTGGTGTACTGGAGGCTGGTAATTATGAGTTTTAAAATTTAAACTTCACCATGACTTTTTTGATACTTTGATGAACTACTTCCTGATTATTTTACCTATTACGTTTTACTTGCACTATTGGAACACACTGAGCTCCCTAACTCAATTCCCAAACTTTTTCTCCTTTCATATACTTTTGGATAGGCACCCTGGACCTTTCACTTGGAGGATCGACACATTTCGTACAATACATTTTGTTGTAATGTTTTTATCTTTCAAACTGCCTTCATTTTTGATGACATGTGCCTATATTTTTAAATACTTGTTTTACGACTTATACTGCTTTTGCTAATGATGATAGATTTACTGCGGTATTGATTATGACATATTTTATTTTACTCAGCGACTTATGGTTTTATATTTACCCGTTTGGATTTTATCGTTATTAACTATGTTTTTTTAAAGATGTTATTTATAATATGAATTTAAATTATCGAAGAATCGTCCCCCTGAAAATTTAAAATCACCACATATTTTAGATTTTTATCCTATGTATTTTTATTGAAAATATTTTTTCACCCCTAGGATTTTATAAGATGTTCCCTTCCTAAAATTTTAGAAGTTCGCTCCTCTAACAGAAAATATTGCGTTCATCCCTATTCATAAATCCAAAACCCTCACAATCCATTAACCCAATAGATGAATCCAACCCAAAAATCACTATAGTTCATTTGAATTATTGGTTGACCCAAATCGAGTATTTTGGTTCAAACGAACAATCTCAAGTGATCGATTCTAGCCTCAATCGAGAACCTAGTGGAAGTAGTTAAAAGAATGACCATTCATTCAAAGTTTTATTGCATCGAGCTAGAAGAGTAAGACATCTCACATCGTTTTAATTTTGATGAGAGATTCATTCAAAGTATCATTATCTTAAGCTAGAGGATCATAACATCTTTCATGTTGGAAGCATAGGTGGGCTCTGGATAATTTTTATAACTCGAACTATTATTGATACGAGGCAAAACACGTTACAACGACGTTACCCCAATATTATAATATTACAACACTACAATACTAACTGCGGCTAGTTTACAAACACAACCTCAATATTCTAAGCTTTGCTAAGCTTTACTCAAATTCTCTCATAGCTTTTCTAAGCTTTCAATCATATTCCTAAGCTTTGCTAAGCTTCACCCTCTCTCTAATAGCTTTGCTAAGCTATTTTTCATTATGGCTTTTCTAAGCCTTCATTTTTTCTCACTTGTGTTCATATATTTATAATTGTCACATGTTAATTTTCCATGCTTAGTTCTTAAGTAATTCAAGATCATGTTTCATTAATCAAGAATCTTCTAGAATTATCCATGTCTTGCCAGCATAAGTAGTAAAATTAGATTTGAATTCTAACACTCCCCCTAAAATCTGATTTTTCATTCCGAGCTTTTCTTTGAGTCGGTTGAATATATCTGCTCTCAATAGCTTTGTGAAAATGTCTGCTAGTTGATCTTCAGTTCTGCAGTAAATTAGCTCCACAATTTTATTCTTCACATGCTCTCGTATAAAGTGATACTTTGTATCAATATGCTTGCTTCGGCTATGGGATATTGGATTCTTGGCAAGCGCACGCTGTTGCATCTATATATTATTCTTTGTTTTTTTCGGCTCCTTGTAGAGATTTTTGCAAACTCTACCACGCTTGTTTTACGGTCTTCGTATCATAAATTTTTTCAAAGTTAGATTCGTCTACTCCTTGAAATATAAAAAACAACGTTCTTTTAGCTTTTTTCGGGATTCCTTCAATACCTTCTTTGTTTCATTGGCCATGACTGCTTCTACTGCTGCATTTTCAGGCTCGGTGTAACCATCCTCGATGATATCTCAACAATCTTGAGAGCCTAGTAACACCTTCATTTGAATGCTTCAATTGCCATAATTCGTCTTTGTCAATCTGAGGATTTGTGGTTGAATCATGTTAGTTATCTTCTCCACCACGTTAAACTCGAACCTGGCTCTGATACCACTGGTTGGAAGCGTAAGTGGGCTCTGGATAATTTTTATAACTCGAACTATTATTGATACGAGGTAAAATACGTTACAACGACGTTACCCCAATATTACAATATTACAACACTACAATACTAGTTGTGGCTAGTTTACAAACACAATCTCAATATTCTAAGCTTTGCTAAGCTTTACTCAAATTCTCTCATAGCTTTTCTAAGCTTTCAATCATATTTCTAAGCTTTGTTAAGCTTCACCCTCTCTTTAATAGCTTTGTTAAGCTATTTTTCATTATGGCTTTTCTAAGCCTTAATTTTTTCTCACTTATGTTCATATATTTATAAGGGTAATTAAACCTCCTTAATGAAAGATCTAGGCATTTACAAATTCTTCTTGTATTGCCACATGGAGTTCATTGTTGTAATGAAATTCCCTTACATCATCAATTGTCACATGTTTATTTTCCATGCTTAGTTCTTAAGTAATTCAAGATCATGCTTCATTAATCAAGAATCTTCTAGAATTATCCATGCCTTGCCAGCATAAGTAGTAAAATTAGATTTGAATTCTAACATTTCAACGCTTCAAGTTGAAGAAGCAATTCATTCAACGTACTATTGCCTTAACTTAGAGGGGTCAAATGTCTCTCATCATTTTATGTTGAGGAACGATTCGAAGTCTCATTGCCTTTAAATTGGAGGGACAAAATATCTCTTTTAACTTCAAGTTAGACGAACGATTCATTCAAAATCTTATTTACTTCAAGTTGATGAAAAAATACTATATATATATATATATATATATATATATATATATCATCGTTTCAAGTTGAAGGAAATATCTATTTTAAAAAATTAAAAATTGATTATTCAAGAGATTAAAAATTAAAAATAATCACCAACTATTAATTTATAGACAAAAATTGATGTAATGGTTAATTACATATATAATAACAAATTTAATCTTCAACATTTGTGTATAATTATAATTATAAAATTTTTAACTTTAAACATTTAATTATTATATCAATTATTTAATCCATTTAAATATTATACTAGATAATGTGAAGATTGAACGTTGCAGAAAGATAGAGTTGAGAATATATATATAATGAACTAAGATGACTTTTTCAACAACAAAAAACAAAATTGAAGGCAAATATATATTTGGGACTTAAATATCTAACATATTATATTTTAAATTTTTTAGAATAATTTTTTGACTGTTTTAAAAATATTTTTATTTTAAAATTAAATCAGTTAAATAATTAAATCAATTAATTTAATTAATATATGAACAATTAATCAATTAGATACTACTTTATATTTATTTCAAATTAATAAAAATAAATTAAATGAAAATCAATAGAACCGCCTGATTCCGACAAAAACAATATCCCAATAATGAAGGAAAAATATTTATTTATTTATTTAATAAATAAATAAATAAAATCCTAAAACCACATTCAAAACATAAAAATATGTCGAAAGTTATGCTCATTCACAACCTTGTCCCAATAATCAAGGAAAATATTTATTTATTTTTTAAAAAACCCACAAACTTTCACTTAAAATTTTGTTTTTCTCAATTGATAAAACAATAAACAATCGCATTAATAAACTAGTTTAACGAAACAAAATGATCAAAGACGACAGAGATCGGCAATTCCCCGCCGGTGGGAGTAGACTTTCCCTCATCGCAATCGCCGGCCTCATCGCCGGAGTAATACTTATCGCCACCTTAATAAAAACCGGCGACTATTCCCTCCTTTGCTCTATTGCCAAGTCTAGATCGCAACCCATAAATGGATTCTCCGACATGGAAACTCAACTCCGAGCCCTCGTTCACTACGCCACCTCACAAATCACACCGCAGCAAAATCACGACGAGATCTCCGTCACATACGACGTACTCAGAAACCGGAATCCGTGCAATTTCCTCGTCTTTGGACTCGGCTACGATTCGCGCATGTGGGATGCTCTGAATCCCCAGGGTAAAACGTTGTTCCTCGAAGAGGATCAGAAATGGGTCGACGAGGTGCTCAAAGGTGCGCCGAACCTCCACGCGTACGCTGTGAAATACCGTACGCAGCTGAAGGAAGCGGACGCTTTGATGGATCATTATCGGACGCAGCCGACCTGTTTCCCGTCGAACGCTTACTTGCGTGGCAACGACAAGTGCAAGCTTGCTTTGACGGGTTTTCCCGAAGAGTTTTACGATACGGAGTGGGATTTGATAATGATCGACGCGCCGCGTGGGTATTTCGCGGAGGCGCCGGGTAGGATGGCTGCGATATTCTCGGCGGCAGTCATGGCGAGGAACAGGAAAGGAGCCGGCGTGACCCACGTGTTCTTGCACGATGTTGATCGGAAGGTGGAGAAGCTTTTCGCCACCGAGTTTTTGTGCACAAGGTACTTGGTGAAAGGCGTTGGGAGGCTCTGGCATTTCGAGATTCCCGCGGCCGATAAAACCACCGGCCACGACGATCCTCGTTTTTGCTAAAATGCACACCGCCGCTGTTACGTCGATGCACCGTTTTTGCTAAAGTGCACCCTTAAATTTACAATATACCAGCTGATTGGAGCTGTTAATTTTTTACTTTAGACAAAGAGAAATCTATCGGAAAGACAAAATTCATGAAAAATCTGACTTATTCGTTTGTAAAATCACTTTGCACCTACAACGACAATGGATGAAAATTCCGAACAATTTTAAAATTTCTTGCAAATCATGCGAGAGAACTTACTTAAATCAATGCATATACTTCGATTCGTTCGGGAAATAAAGTAAAATCTACTAATAACATTATTAATTCAATTTATAAATGAATTAATTTAAATTAAAAGATGAAGTGTTATAACACAGTAAAATATAGGATGTAATAATTCAGCTGTCAAGAGAGTATTATCAATGCATAGTGAAACAAATCATTAATTTTCTAGTTTACATATCAAATAATAACCTTTATTTTTTTCTTAGTGAGGCTGTGGGAATGAGTTGATTTTTAAAGTAATAAAAAATTGAATTTTTTGTACAATTATCAATCTGATTCATTGATTCGTTAATCCGAATATGATATTACATAAATCTATTATAAATAGATTAATAAATAGATAAGACAAAATTATATATATCTAACTTTCAAACATTTACACATTATGTCAATTTTGTACTAAACCTAAAGATTATAAATTTAGCAGTAATTTGTTTGAATTATGTCAAAGCCTCGGTGATGATCAATACTATCATATACAGCATACAAGTAAACCAACCAACAGATCGACAGGGCTTGGCAAAAAGACATTACTTGCCTCTTTGGTTACTCAAAACAGCATCAACCAACCCAAATAATAAAATCAAAGAAACCCAGGGAGTCGATCACATTCAACTCAAAACAGGAAAGAAGATCATATCCTATCATAAAAAGTATTTCATCCGATCGTCTCGCTTCATGGCATATATACGGCTTGAACCTGTGCACACAACTAGTTCTATCAGATTTAAAAGTAAAACCCTATGTGTATTTCGAGAAATTTTTACCTTCAATTTTCTTATTTGCCTTTAGTAAAATCGAACTATGGTGAATGATTCTTATATCTAGTAGTGTGTTTGCATGGACGAGCGTGTGCATGTGCTTGGCGTGAAAGAGACACATACCTGTTCACTAGAAACAACTTGGACGGGACCAATGTTAACAGATACGTATTTCCCCCTCGATGATAACTTCTGCTTCACCCGACCCTGTCACAATAACTTGTTAGATGTACTGTGCATCTGAAAAGAAACAGAAGAGAAAATGGAAACGGCAGTTTATATTTCAACAATGATCTTAATTAATTCCCAGAAGTAAAATCTTTCTGGGAAAGGAAAATTAATTCAAATAATTCAGCATGAATATTTCCTTGTCATGCAACCTTTTGTGGTGAAACAGTGTCATCAAGCCACAAGTTCATCAACTTAAACCCATGTTCTTTTTTTTGCTCAGCCCCAGGCTTAATTTAAGGTGAAGAAATGGCCACATAACATATACCTTCGATCTTCGCCTAAACCGAATCTATTTTTCCTGATAGAAATTTGAGTCCGTCAGATCAAAGTTGCCCAAATGCTAAATAAATTAGCATTTCTTCAAATAGGTCATCAAGAGACCCACAATATACACCCGAGCATTTGACTCAACTTTTGGTGCATGCTTCTCACCCTTCAAAGAACCTAGGTTTGCAGCTCCAATGCAAAATCAATAGAATACAGCAAACAGAGTTTTGCACAGTAACATCCTTATGCATGCAGTTATTCTCTAGCACCCAAATGCTACATGACTATGAGGTAATCAATTTCAATGGTTGCAATAATTCCGATTCTATCTGAACTTCAGGTTTCTTCTAAACTCCTATTAAATCCAATATTATATAAAATTTCCAAATTCTTCTTTCAGTCAAATCTGACTGATAACCAGCTAATATAATGCACATTCTGAGGTTTCCAATTTATACGGTAGGCAATAATTTGTTCTATATGATCCACAAATGTGCAATGTGAAAGGGGAATTCTTGAGAATCCATTTATATTCCATCAGAAAACATCCAAGTGCATCAGCTTATAGACTAAAATGTCATCTCAAATTACGTTTTCTATTTTCAAATGCATAAACAAACAGACATCTCGATTGGCAATTGATTTTCAGCAGTAAAATACACATAACTCTGTATAGGTACCTCGGGGATTGGTTGTTGTATCACAGATTCCACAGCAATAACCATTGATTGTACAAAATCATCACCTCCAGTTCCAATTGCAGTAAATCCTCTAACGGTAGGGTATGAGTTGACCTGACAAGTTAAACAAAAACGAAACTAAGCTGCCAAAACAATCTCAAACCATTCATCATCTCAAGGCTAACAAGCTGTATGTAAGACGGACATCTGAATAACGAAAAGCCCAATAATATGAATTTAATCTCATCAAATTTAGTTTAAAAGCAACAAACAATCGTTTGAAAGTCTTGATTGGATTGGATATCAAGAGCGGACAATACATACCTTCTGATCCAAAGCAAGCCATTCATTAGTCGAATCATCGGCTACAGTACCGCCAATAACCACATTTGTGGTTTCCCCAACTCTCCCTTCTGTCTTTGATACCTCTGAATCCCAGAACAAAGAGTTATATCAATAATAAAAATACATGAAAAGGAAAAAGATACACTGCAAGGGTTTAAGCAAGCATCAAATTCCATTGATAATTACATGCACTAACTAAGTTCAAACTGACGAACTCAAACTCACTCGCCGAGTCACGAATAAATCTGTACTAAACTCTGAGAATTGAACCTGAAAAGTCTAGGTTCCAGAACCTCCTCCTTGCTAGTAAAGCAAAGCCTCGTCTCCTCATAGACTTGAAACATTTTATTTACGTTTTCAAGAGGGTCTAAATATTCTCTCTTATGCATTCAGTTCTATTTTATACTAATAAATTCGACATACTATTCCTTATCCAAACAAAAAGAAACAAACGAATTCACCAAAAAAATTAATAAACAAATCAAAATAAAGTTTAATTCAAAAGATAAAGGGAACCTGAAATTGCTTTGAGAACTGCTTCCTGAGGCGGGCCTTGCTCGAGGTCATCCTCCTCGGACGAAGAAGATGACGACGTTTCGTTATTTGATGAATTCAGCTTCTGAGCCCGTTTCCAGAAGTGAACGTCTCGAGCCCTAACTACACAGCTCCGTCTCTTCGCCGGCGAAACTCTGAAGCACCTCAACGTTTTGATGGAACGGAAATTCCCGTTTCTTTGCAGTGGTCTCCACGGATCCGTTACGGAAACGGAATGCAATACGGTCATGCACGCCATCTCTGATATTTTTATTTTTATTTTTGATATATTTTTCGATAAACTCCTATTTTCATGAATTATATAGATTTTTGTCATGTTTTTTTACGGGCGCTTTAGTGAAATTATTTAACTACCCTCCTTTATAACTGAAGTCTATGAGGGCTAATTGTCATTTCAAGTCCTGGAAATAATGAAACTAGTGTTTAACCAGCAAAACTCTTAATCTTGCGGTCGTGGGAACGAACCTCATAGTAGACAATTCATAATTCGGAGATCTTCCACGGAAGTTACTCTTAACCTAACGTTGGAAGCAACCTACTATCACATCTCTCTCTTATCCCATTACATAGAAGATTAAGGGCCACCTAATTTTAGTGTTTAACCCGCAAACTTAACCAACTTTCCGTGGTCCGATAGCACCTGATCTTAAAAATTCTTTCGGTTAATTCTGACTCAGTACCTGTATTCTTCGAGTTTTTAATATTTAGTCCATCTTGCTTGTATTTTCAGGAATTTAAACTATCTGATTTTAAAAAATTCTAGCGTGAACTTGACAAAATCATCTCTCCATCAAGGAGCAATTCAAATGCTGCAATTAATGTATGTCCTCATTCATTTACGTGATCGATTGCTCTTAATCCAAGCATCTCATGTTTTGGATAAGTATCAGTTTTATATCCAAAGCAAACAAATACAATCTATCAGAGGCTCAACAAAAGTTCAATTTAACTTCTAATCTATACATAATTGAGTATTAACAAAATATCTCCTATTTATATTACGTCAAAAGTTTAGTTCTAACAACCTCCCGAATATCCGCACATATACCTTCATAATCACTATTAATACCTCTAAAAATTCTATAGTTCCTTTCTTCCCAAATGTAGTAAATGAATGCATTCCAAGCAATTTTCAAAATAAGAGTAAGAAGAGATTTACTCTCAACATATTTACAAGTCCATCTCGGCTCCTGCTCCCAGCCTTGCACCACAATATGGACTCTGCAACGGGCAAGAATGGCATTCCAAATACTAACAGCAAAAGAGCATTCAAGAAAAATATGATCTCTACTCTCACTAGCATTACCATAGAGTTTGCATGCTCCATCAATAGCCATACCCATTTGAATCATTCGATCCTTTGTAGCAAGCCTATCTAAGACCGTTAACCAAACTATAATCGTATGTTTAGGAATATGTACGGAAACCAAATTAATTTATGCCAAACAATCCTATCATTCTTCACTCTGATATCCTCCCAAATTCTTTGAGTGTTTTGCCTCCGAAATCAGTCCCTGCAGCAAACAGAACCGCCCCCACCAGTCGAAGAGAAAACAACCTCCGCAAGCCCCAGCTCATTACGCATCAAAATGAGAATACACACACCATTCTGATACTCCAAAAATTTCAAACCAAGCCCCCCCTTCTGCCATCAAGTAGCAAACAGACTTCCAACCCACATTTGGACCCGACGTAGAAGTATCCCGCCCCTTCCAAAAAAAAACTGAGTGCACAATTACTCGATCTTATGCACCACCGCCTTCAGGAGGATAAGCTGACGACACCAATAATTTGTAATATCAAACAACACAGATCTAAAAAGTTGGAATCTCCCAGCATAAGTAAGATTCCGACCTACCTAAAGATTCAGTTTACCCCGAATCTTGTCCACCAATTCCTTGCAATCAGTCTCTGACAACCTTTAAGTAACTAATTGCACCCCCGAGTATCGAACAGGGAGTTGACCGATTTAAATCCCACACCCCTACAAATATTATCCACTTCCTCATCCGGGATACCAGAAGTGAATAATTCACTTTTGCTCGCATTAAGCTGCAAACCCGGTAGCTTATAAAAACTATCCAAAACACTTAACTTCATACACCGACTCTAGCGATCCCCTAGAGAAAATAAGCAAATCATCCGAGAAGCAAAGATGAGTAATCCCAATCCTCCTACACTTCGGTGAAATTAAAAACACTCTTCCTAGCTGCCAAATCAAGAATCTTAGAAAGCGCATTCATTGCCGTAACAAATATGTAAGGGGAAAGGAGATCCCCTTATCTAACTCCCCTCTCACCCTTAAAACCCCCACAGGAGTACCATTAAATGCCACAAAGAACCGAGCGGTAGTGAAACAACTCCGAACCCAATCCATATACTTTACAGGGAGCCCCAAAGCCTCAAGCACCCCAAAAACAAATTCCCAATTCAAGCTGTCGAAAGTTTTGTGGAAGTCTACCTTAAGAGCGCATGCATCTAGGAGATAAAGACTTCCTTGCATACCCATGAACAATTTCCTGAGCTAGCAATATATTATCCAAATATTTTTACCTTTGACAAACGCCGTCTGGTTAAGCGCAATTATATCTAGAAAGAATACAGCCAACTGATTCACCAAGATCTTATAAATAGTGCGATAAACTACCAAAAGTTTATATCATCTTATAATTGTATTTAAATTACTTTGTACACCTTATATAAATTTTGCTGGTATGCTTGTGTATGCATATCATATCATGCCCACAATTATTACCAAAAGTTCATAAATGATTCTTAACCTGAACAAATATTCATTGCACATCTAGTTTAATAAAGGTATTTGTACATCAATGAACATAGGCATTACAATTATCTACCATACACATCTTTCCATCTCCTTACAAACTAGAAAACAGGTGTATGACCATCCAACATTTTAATGGCTATTAGGGTTCTTCCTCGTAGCGTTTCACTTGGGGGTGAAAGCCTGCAACAAACAAAAATAACAACACTTAAATCTAAATCCAACAAAACAAGCAAATAATACATCAACAGGGCCTGAACTCACAGCAAAAATGGTGGCATGACCAGGATCCGCAAGGTGAGCAAATAAGTTGTCGATGGGACCGGTGCCGGTGTAGATATGTTGGAACCACGCACCCATCACGGCCAACATGGCCAATCTACCATTCTTGATCTCTTTGGTCCTCAACTCCTTGATCTTCTCGGGCGAACCACTTCCCCATCCGAGAGGGTCGAACCACAAGCCACCGGGGTAACCGACATCTGTCCCGGTGAGCTTGTTGTTAGGGAAGATGGGGTCGGTGTTTACGCACCCCGGTTTGAGAATGTCAGCCCATCTTCTCCCTTCGGCCCAGCCAATGAAAATAAGCTCGACGATGAAGAGAGTTGTGGTGTCGGTGAAGTATTCCTCGGTCCCGGCCGAGTACCATGAAGGAGTGTTTAGGATCCCGATCTTTGTTAAGAACTCCGGGATGAAAATGCCCGCAGCTCCCAACATTGCCCACCTGCAATGCACGAGCTCCGCTTGCACGTTCCATCTCAATGTCTCGGGATCAGATCCTGTTAGGAAAAAAAAACCATTAGTACTGTCGTCTAAATCTCTGCCAATTGAGGTACTGGTGAGGATTAAACACTAACCGAGTCCCAGAGGATCGAAACCAAAGTCACCAGGAAGACTGCAACAAAGGGTTCAAATGAAATGTTAAAAAGAATTGTCTCTACAAGAATGAGTACATATGGTGATGAACTCATTTGACCTAGAAAGTCGTCGCTAATAAAATAGTGAGTTAGTGACGGAAATTTGGGAAAAAAAAAAATCACTAAAAAATACAGTTTTCTCGTAGGTTGAAGAGAGAAAATATGGCACAAAATGGTGTTCTTAAGTGACTGAACCTGCCATCGAGCCATGGAGGAGGAACGCTGCCGGGAAACCAAAGGGGTCTGTCGGGTTCAGCGGCAGCGCACACCGGAACCGTTGATGCAGCGGCGCGTTTTGTGTACTTTCTCACTGATCTAAGCTTCTTCCCTGTGAGGAATGATGCCTTTGTTGTTCCCACAACTGATCCATTCTTCTGGGAACTGAAAACAGGTTTAAAACATCAATAAAACTCGCAACAAATAGCAAGGAAATTAAACCTACAATTCATCATCATCCCTAACAGAACTGAAGTAGGGTTTGATTTTAACTTGCCTGGCGGATGAAATGGCAACAACTGCAATAGCCGAGGAAGCACAAACTGAGGCCATTTTTTTTGGTGGGGAGGGATCAGATTTTCGTGCCTTGAATGAGTTTGTGTTTGAGATATATTAATGTATGAAGGGGGTTATCTTGATGGATAAGGGGAGTAGATATGGAATAAGCTTGTGGTTTGCCATGTGTCAAGCAGAATCTGATATGATGTCCTTTGTGGATAGTTGGTGTGCATATTCGGATTAATCTCAAGTTGGTGGTTGGCCTTCGATGTTCGTGTTGCCGATGTATGCAAATCCAAAATAAAAATCAATGGCATTGGTTCTATATTATTCTCCCTTGTGCACATGAGCTATTTGCAATGGCCCAATCTCTCGAACCCAAAGCTCATACTCCCTTCCCAAAAGCCGTCAAGCTATTTTAGTATTTTTCAGTCCTTAAAAGGGTAAACTTGCTAGACTTTTGTGAGATATATATATATATATATTGGTTGAATAAGGTTTATGATTTAAGATAATTGTTGTAGTAACTCGAAGATTTTGTCAGAAATATGTCTATTTCTTAAAAGTGTGTTGATCGCAACATAATTTCTCCCTACTGTTTACATGCACAATAACTGATAGCAATACAGTACGGATACGATAATTCCAGAAATCACTTTCTAATAGTCGTCGTATAATTCTAACGTGATCTTCGATTACTATGTAGTTTTCTAAATGTACTGTATAATAATATTTTTAATAGTTTTTTTCTTTTGATAAATTTTCATTTTATCCCTATTTTTTAACACTGATTCTAATACTATATAAGCTGTAAAATAAATTATAAATATTTCCTGGACAATAATTTTAAAATTACAAGTGATCATTTATTTATTCAAATAAATAACTATAGATATTTAGTTATATTTTTCAAAAGAAACACCAAGCAAACTAAATCTTTACCTTTAATAATTATGTTTCCAAGTAATGCAAAGGGTCCCCATTCCCAATTCCTATACTACAATTTGCACCAACATCCTTCAAAGAACCGACCAGGAAATGGAAAATTTGGTGGACTCACCAACTTATATATTAGGGTAAATTACCTATTTAGTCAATAACCTATTATCTTGTTTTTGTTTTTGTCAATTAACTATTATTTTTTCAGTATCATACTTAATGTTACGTTTCATTTTTATTTGACGATCCATCATTAAATTTGACCATTGACTTAACGGAATTGGTGACGTAGCATTAGCATAATAATAGTTTGATAGAATGTGAGTTTTGAGGTATAAAATTGTTATTACACCATATTGCATCATCATTTCTGTTAAGTTAACGGTCAAACCTAATAACAAGTTATTAAAATAGAAACGAAATATTAAGTATTATTTTGGGGGGAAAGTAATTTGATGACTAAAACAAAAACAAGATAATAGATGGTTAATTAAATATGTAATTTACCCTATATATTATCATATGACATCCTCTTCCCTCATCACCTCTTATAATCAAAACCCTTTTTTTTCACATGGCATTGCTGACCCCCAACATGATTGTGAAAGTTTAGATATTTTTTAAGGAAGCAAATGGGTGGTTACTTCAGCATCTAAATTTAATTCATTACTGATTATTTGAACGGTCCATCAACAACATCAAACCCTTTACGTAAGGAGTGATTTCCACGCCCTGCTCTCTACTTAAAGCTTTGGATTCCTAATTATTTTTGCTTTCTTTCTCTTTTTTATTTCATGCAGGCATGTGCTGGCTAAGTAATTAGCACTCTTTAATTATAACTTTACGAGATTTTAATTCGTTGCCAGAATCGATCGCGAGTTAAATAGTACTTAATTTCTTAATTACGGAAGCGACAAGTGAAAGACTTGGATTCCTTGGCATCATGGATATGAGAGGCGGGAAAGAACAAAACACTCATTTGTTGAGGTTCTTTGTTCTGAAAGTACTAAATTATGGGGACGTTTGGTCGTTACGATGACCATAATAACTTTGCCAAACCCTCTTCAAAAAGTGGGATTATTGTGTCGGATTTCCCTTCTTGACGTTAAAATTTATCTTTTATATATATATATATATATATGGGATAGGATCTTGTTACACAATTTAAAATTATTTTAGTTTTATATGAATTTAATATCGTTGGATGAGAGAAAATAGATGGTTATATTAACAGTAGGAAATAAGAAGAAATTCACTGAAGGAAAAAAAACAAATAATCAATTTCAATCATTTATTTTCACTCATCAAATTAGCTGTCATAAATTTGTGTAAAACTAAAGAGTTTTATGTATATATATCACATGTATTTTTATTATATTCATATATAATTGAGTAAAATCAGGGAATAAATTTCTTTAAATAATTTTTTACGCAAGATTTGAATATGATATTTTACTTAGAGCACATCAAATTTCTTATTATTTAACACTAGGTTTTGAGTATTATGTAATTTATAATCGGTTTATGCTCTTTATGTACGTATTTTTTGTATAACCACCGATATCTAATTTATTAATCGACTAATTTAGATTGGATGCTACAGAGGCAATGAAGACTCTCCTAACTCGCTTTGCTCCATTCTTTACTTGAAGAATCTAATGCTTCATTTCACTGGACTAATTGATTGTTAGTAGTTTAAGTCTCATCATATAGTTATGATGATAATTATTTTCAGTGTATTATTTATATTTATAATTATGATTGTAATTGCAGTTTCAAAATGATAGGACTATAATTACACAATACTATTTTATGAAATATTAATTAGCCCTAACAGCCGAAAATTGATTAAATAATTTAAGTTCATTTGTAGTTGTTATTAAATTTTAATAATTCAAATTAATCCCTCTTAGCCTCTTTACTAAATAATTTCTTTCTAAAATTTAAAACTCCAACTTAAGTCATTTTATCAAAAAAAAAAAACTTTAACTACTCAATTTATTTTTATTTTATTTTTTTGCTCTGCAAAAACAGTAGCTTTATTACTCTTAGAGATAAAAAATACTCAATTTATTTATTTATTTATTTATTTATTTATCTCAACTCCAATGCAAAATTATTGACTTTACCCTATCTATATCTGCATCAATATGACATATATTTAAGGTAAAGGTGAGCATTTTTTGTATGTTTATTTACTTGTTCGTCCAAGTTTAGGTTTGGAAAATAACCCATTTCTTTTTCCCTAATGACGTTTGATTTTAGCTAAAAAAAGAAATCAATTTAAGCCCGATTAATTTAATTAAGATGAAATTACAGGTGAACAACGTTATTTTCACTTAGCTTAGCTTGCGAGATCTGGTTTTTAATTTCTAGAAGCCTGTAACCATCAAAGAAGAAAGTCGGAATTTTTTTTAGATAAAAATGAAAAGGGATAACTATTCAACTAAGGAGGTTGTATATGATGTTATTTTTGGAGTTCTTCATCACGGTATTGTTCATGTCAATATCACCCCTCGTAATGTTAAAAATTTGACACCGTGACACATACACTTCAATTTCAAGTAATGGTATACATTAATTTATAAATCATAAATGTCGTTATTAGTATAATGATATTTTAATGATACATACTATATATATATATATATATATATATATATATACATATTTTAAAAAAATAAAAAGAGAGTCTATTTGTCGACAATCTTTAGAGCATAGTTCTCAATTGACACATTGTCTCTCTTTTAGGTTGTGAGTTCAATATTCATTAGGAGTAAATTCTCTTTTCACCTTCCCTAAGTAGGATTTGTTCAAAGAAAAGAAAAAAAGAGAATCTCTCTAGAAAGATTCCTTCATTATCGAAATCGAACCACGACACAATCCCATACAAACTCAAAATCAAACTATAATCCAACTCACCCAAATCAGCACTAAAAGAAAGCACCCTATACAAACTCATATTAACAAAACGTCAAACAATCTTAAATTAGTGTAAAATTAAATGATTTATTATAAATTTGGAATAATAATTATTCCTCAATCACCAAAGTCATATGGTTTTTACAGGATTTTATATAATATAATTCAATCTTACTTTATATATATATATTTAGATAGAAAAGAAGAAGATAAACGAGTTTCGGTAGCATTGAGTTGAGGTTAACTTCACTTACCATGCACGTAAAGGTTGTCCCATTACTGACAGGCATTAAGCAATCTTACTAATGCTCAATTCACTGGTTTCCCACGTTCTTATACTTTCATGGATCAAAATCTCTCTTACTCAACTTTCCCTTGAACCCTAACCTTCCATTTAACTATTTATTAAAATAACTCTTAAATACAAAAATCCATAATCTTTAACTTTAAAATGTATTCGTCAACTAACCATAATGTAAAAGTAAGTGATTTACGTTGTTATTATAATTTTAATTGACTATTTTATGGTTCAAACCTTGAATTATGATAACCTCTATCTCTATGAAAGAAAAAGCTCTAGAACATATTCAAAGGGAAAAGTGTATTAGTAAATATTTGAGATATTGATAATGTATTATTTTATACACCGTTAGTAAGCAAGATAAGTGATGGGCGCACACAATCGACCCAAAGGCAGCAACATAGTTAGCTGGTTGAATTTCTTTTAAATAGTCAGAGGTGATTACAACATAATATATGTTAAAAACTTTTTTAATCAATTGATAATGCATGCAGATTCTACAAATACAACTATTCAAACTCAGAACCTTTACCACTTAGACCACCTAATAAGTCTGGTTGTCTGGTTGACTTAGACCAATACTGAAAAATATAACTCATGAACAAAAGGTGAAAGGTTACCCAAGGTTCCCCTTGGCCCCCGTCAGTTATCTTTTTAGTATTAATTAATATTGAAAATATATATTTTTAATAAATAAAGAAAGAAAAATTTATCTGACCTCCCTAAATTGAAAAAAATAAATTTATGAAAAATGAAAAATACTTTAGACTGATTAAAAGATATAATATTCAATAATCACAAAAATTTAATCATGTTTAGAAACAAATTAGGTTGAATCTCGTTTTAAAATATAAAAATTTTTAATATTATTTATTCCATTCATAAAATTCAAACTTCCTATAATTTAATAACTAAAATCACGTAGAAATTTAAACTATAAAAAATAAATTAAAAGTG